AAATTTTGCTGCAAGTCTGAAACATAAAAACCATTATTACTGTTTTATCAATAAAGAGAAAAGTATTAAATGTAATTTGGATATTTTCAAATTCAGAAAACAGTGCTATAAATTTGAATATATGATGAATTGGACGTCAACTAGTAGTATCATACCTCATAAAAGATAGTACTTTACATTTCCCATTACTTTCTTCAAAGCTTCAACTGGCTCTGTTAAGAAAGATCTTTTTTAAAGTGAAAAGCAGATAGGTTTAAGTTCAGATTGGATTCACCCCTGCCCTCAGATGAGGATTAACAAATAAAATTAAGCAATTTAAATAGCAGAGATGTTTATGTGTAAAATTATAATGGAACTTTTTAGAAATTAGCTTCTATCATTTCTTTCTAGGACAGTCATTCTTAGCTATGCCTTTGAGTTTAAAGTATCCACTTTCAAGGTTTTTACCTGTTGCATTAGTAAGTAAATTCTCTGTAAGTTAGGATGATATGTGGATAGTATTACTTGTGTTGAATTTTGCATTATAACCGGGATGCATCATGACTGTTTCTACTTACACATTTTTTTGAATCTCTGGAGCAGCTCTTTAACAACTTTTAATATACATGTATGTTCTCTGGGGCCCTTGTTGAGATATAGATTATGATTCAGCAGGTTTGGGAGACTATGAGAGTCTACACTTCTGAAATGTTCTCCAAGGATGCCTGTGCTGCTGGTCCATGGACTACATTTTGAGTAGCAAGGCTGTAAGAGACAAGCGTCCTTATAGCTCTGTTGGGTGTAAAAGTCATGTACTCGCTGTGTCTCAATAGGCCGTTTGCTCTTAAAAAAAATCAAAACTAAGTCTGGGTTTGTGTTTTTTTAAGATTAACTGTTAACACTCATGTCTTTTCTTTTTTAAAATAGCCAAACAACGAATTGCTCATAAACCTCATTCCAAACCAAAAACTTCAAATATTTTTGAAGCAAATTTTGCAAATGAAGTAAAATCTGAGAATTTGCTTGCTGATAAGGAACTGTGGGCTCGACTTGAAGAACTAGAGAGACAAGAAGAATTGCTGGGTGAACTTGATAGGTATCTAATAATAAATAAATTTTCCAAAATAAATTTGTTTTTATGCAGAAAGGTATAATAAATTATCAATAATCTTTCCCCCCCAAATAAATATTAATTCTCTAGAGTACTTTTTTAGGACTGTGTCCTTATGTACATTCTCATGCATGTGCATGTACACGCTTAAGAAAAACATCTCCATTTTCTTCTTTTAAGAGTTGACCTATATTTTGTATAATGAAGTAATTATAACAGTCGATTTTTAATAATTATGGATGCTTTAAATATTAAATTTAATGAAGTATTTTTATGCTGTACTCCAAGATGTTTTATCTTTGACTTTTTAAAAAGAAAAGTTTGGGGCTGAGGCTGTAGCTCAGTGGCAGAGCACTTGCCTAGCATGTGTGAGGAACTGGCTTCAATCCTCAGCACAACATAAAAATAAACAAATAAAATAAAGGCATTGTGTCCATCTACAACTACTAAAAAATTAAAACAGTTTGCTTTGAATTTTAACTTGAAATTATTAAGTGTTTATCCTTGCCTTCCATTTGCAAACTTTTTTGTTTATTGAATAGGCAGTTTGTAATCTGATCAGGTAGTTTTATGTATGAGAAACTTTACTAAACTGCTATTTGTAATACACGTTAGCACTTACTTAGAATTCTCAAAATGCTAAATGAAGTCTGCTACTACCGAAGTTCCTATACTATTTTGCTTAAATGATGTACCATATGCAGTAATTCTGTGAAAAATAAGACAAGAAACACAAAAGATTTTGCCCCTACCATTTCACCTATAAATTCTTAGGTCTTTTTGATTAACTGGTACTATTTCACTTTTTAAAACCAGTATTGGATCTTCTGATTTTCTTAGTCATGATTCTCTTTCTATTTTTGCATGATGTTATTTCAGTTCTATTGCATTTTTGGTTTTGTTATTTTTATAAGGTCCTCAACTCCTTTATAGAATGAAGCATGATAAGTGTATATTCATTTGTATAAATGTAAGTATATTCATGTGCATATATATATGTATTTTCTCTCTTAAAATTACAATAATACATTTTTGTATTATTTTAAAATATCTTGAGGATAGAAAAAGAAAATAAAGACACAATTATGTGGCATTAACTTCTACTTTAATAGAAATACATATTCTTTGAATTTCTTGTTGTACTATTGATATTTATATTTTTGGCCAAAATTCAAAGATAAAGTTAAACTTTATATTCTACTTACGTGTGAAAAGTACAATGTACAGAAATGGCATAGAAACTAATTTTTTTTAATTCACATAAAAATATTTTTATCCTTTTTTTAACCTAGAATTCTAGTTTAAAAAAATACTTTATTCAAAATCTTGTAACCCAGGACTGGGGTTCTGGCTCAGTGGTAGAGTACTCGCCTAGCACGTGCAAGGCACTGGGTTCAATCCTCAGCACCACATAAAAATAAATAAATAAAATAAAGGTATTGTATCCAACTACAACTAAAAAATAAATATTTAAAGAAAAAAATCTTGTAACCCACTGAAATAAGATGAAAATTCGAATAGGTAAAATTCTAGTGTTTTTGTTTTATTAATATTCTCTTTTTCTATTACTAGTAAGCCTGATGCTGTGATTGCAAATGGAGAAGACACAACCTCTTCTGAAGAGGAGAAGGAAGATCAAAACACAAATGTGAATGTGATACATCAAGAAACAAACTCCCTTACTCCCAGCAGTTATCATAAGGATGTTACACATTCAGAACAATTCAATGGACAAGTGAATAGTCAGTTGAACTGTTCAGTAAATGGTTCAAGTTCTTGTCACAGTAATGAAGAATATGATGAAGACAACAGTGATGATGGTTATAATGAAAATGACCATAATGCTTTAGGGATTGGAGATAATTCTGTACCAACAATATATTTTTCTCATACTGTTGAACCTAAGAGGGTTTGTATTTTTTTAACTTTACTAATTTTTCATTTAATTTGAACATTAAATACCATCTATGATATTTTTTAAGAGAAAAGTAGCAGTGATGAATATTGATACTGCCAAATAGGAAAATCATCTTTGCCTCTTAATCTGACCAATGTATCTTAAAAGAAAAAAAAGGGGGGGGGTATTCTAATTAGTTAGCTAGTATTGGTCCATAGTTCAGAGAAGCCACAATGTAATTTGAGCTGGGATCTGGAAGGGAGTCATATTTAAATTGAAGCTACGGTGGCTCCACCTGTCCTTACTATAGAGAGTTTTCTTAAGAACTCTGTAGTTAATTATATTGTGGGCATTTTGGTATGTTTAGTATGTTGGGAGGGACTATATTAGTTTAATTTTCTATTATGTCAGGTTTTTGTTTTCTGTGTCAGCAATCAATGAATAAGAACATCATGGACAAAAAGGAAAAATTTAGGAGAAAGTCAATTCTTCCTTTTCTAACAAATATAAACATCTGTATATGATGTGTTTAGAATATGGGCATTTAAGAGCTGGGGATGATTGTAGAGATCTTTTAATCCAGGTTTTCAGATTTATCTTTTGTATCAAAAGCCTTTTTATTTCTTCCATAATTTTTGTAGAATTTCAGTATTTAAAATAGATCAAAGCAGGCTGACTTTGGTTGAAGGAAGCATGGGATACCTTAAGTATACCTCTGCCCTCTCTGTGCCCATGTAGTGTATAACGTACCTCCAGGAATTCATCTTTCTAATTCAGGAAATCTTCAGGTCTACAAGACATAGAGATGGTAATAAATCAAATGTGCCTTTGACCCATGGTACTTGCATGCCTGTAAAAAAAATCTTGCAAAAAGTCTTTCCTACTATAGTTATAATATGCTTGACATGTAGTTTTCCTTTTCAGAGTTCAGAATTATGGTTCATTGTTAAGTGCCTGTGATGAATAACCATACTTCATACACTTTAGGTTTCTTAAGTTATCCTTGTTCTAATAGGAAGTGAAATAATTATATATATGTGTGTGTCTGTGTGTGTGCGTGCGCATGATTTACACACATATACACACTCACATATTCTAATACATCAGACTAAAGGGATCATTGGTATTCTTTGGGAAAATTTGACAGGAATGATTAGCTAGAAAAAAGTTTTGTGATGCTTTTAAGTTTTCTTATTTCCATTTAGATGAAACAGGAAGAATAAATAATATTTGTAGGAATGTTATGGGAAAGAACAGTTACTAACATAGAAAATGTGGCCTTAATGCTAAGTATTATAATCCTGAACAGGATTAGTTTTTAGTGTTCAGACCTTCAGTTTCTAAAATTAAAAATGTTTAAAAATTTTTGGAATACTTAAACATTATCTGATATTACTTTATGGCTTAAATGTTATAGTCTTACTGAATTTTTCTTTTGGTTAATTGTGCCTTTGTTTTGAAATGTATGATTTAAGTCTAAAACTTATACCAAAGTAATGGAGTGAGGTGAAGTGAAGTTTAAGATAAATCTAGCATTTAGTTTAAATGTTTTTTGCTTTCTATATAATAATAAAGACACGACTACAATAAATCACTAAAGAAAATATAATTTTTAGCATTATAGAAATATGATAAGGACTTCTTTACCCTACCTGATAATGCATATTATTTCAGTACTGAAGAATTTTAGCTCTATATCTTTTAACTATTACTTCTTTAATTATAGAATTTATATTTTATTTTGGTCCTTGATTTAATTTCCCAAGAGGTTTTTAATTTTTTTGTTGTGAAATTTTTAGGTTCGAATAAATACTGGAAAAAATACCACTTTAAAATTCAGTGAAAAGAAAGAAGAAGCCAAACGTAAACGAAAGAACAACGCTGGAAGTGGTCATTCTGCTCAAGAGCTGCCTACAATCAGGACTCCTGCTGACATTTACAGGTGAGTAATATCTGTCACAGACTGTAGTGTAATCTGCAGATTCCTTTTTTTCTAACTGGACTTGTATAGGAAAAGATTGTTTGTAATCCAGAAGATTCTGAAAAATTAAGTGTTCTGATGAAGTTAGCTTAGCATTTGAAAAGCGCCACTGCAACAGCCCAGTCCAAAGCAGTTGGAACGTTGTATGGTTATTTTTTCATTTTCTTTTCTTTACTAGTGCCTTTGAAACATTCCCAACTGGTCTAGGCAAAAAGTCTTTCATCTTAAGTTTACAAATGAAAGCTAATACTTAAAATGGGCTAGGATAATACTTTCTTTCCTACTATAGTTATAATATGCTTGACATGTAGTTTTCCTTTTCAGAGCAAAAATTAATTATACTGTTTCAGTTTTTTGTTGTGGTGTTTGTTGAAAAAGTTATCATTTGAAACTGCTTAACTATTTTTGACATGTTTGTAAAATGGTGAAAATTGCCAAATGTCTTATTAGTGGGTATAAAACTACATAGATTTTTGCAGATCACCTAGATGTTATCACCTACAATATGATTATAATTAACATGCTATATTTTGTTAGACAAAAAAGTCATGTCTTCCAAAAATATGTTATTTAAGGCTGTGAAATTACTTTGAATGTAAATATTTTAGATGGAAACTTTCCAACAAAACGTTTCAGATTAATTTTGAGATTTTAAAAATTTCTTGTAAAGTTACTTTGTTTTATGGTTTAAGGTGTGTGTATTTTTTCAATATAGAGTCTTTGTTGATGTTGTGAACGGAGAATATGTTCCTCGTAAATCTATCCTGAAGTCTCGAAGCAGAGAAAATAGTGTTTGTAGTGATACCAGTGAAAGCAGTGCTGCTGAATTTGATGATAGGCGGGGAGTTTTGAGGAGTATTAGCTGTGAAGAAGCCACTTGTAGTGACACCAGTGAAAGCATTTTAGAAGAAGACCCACAACAAGAAAATCATCAAAAGAAACTTTTGCCATTATCAGGAACATCTGAGGTGTGTATCTCTATTTCTATAGTATCTTTGCAATTTTTACTATTTAGTTGGAAAAGTTATAGGATCTAATTAGTCTTAGATTTGTACTTTTTGGATAATAATTTGTTAAAAATAGTCACTAGCAAACACAATTGTGGTATTAGAATAGTTCAAAAATTTGTTTTAGTGAAATACCTGTTTTGAAGTTTTATTTTGGTACAGTGGCAATTTAAAAATATCTGAAGTGGCACATGTGGTATAACTTTTAGATAGAAAATCATTTAGCAGTTTATATTAAATAAATTACCAGTGGACCAGACTATAGTCATTTTCTGTTAGCTTGAGTAGAAGTGCCTTGGTGCTTTGATGAAGGCACCAAGTGCCTTGGTGGAGTTGAAGAAAAATGTAAATAATTTTTCTATGTTTTGACCTGTTCCAGTGAAACAAAACTTGACTGGTTATGGGATCATTTTCCAATCTGATGGAACCATCAGAAAAATTGGGGCACACTCATGTTTTGCCCACCATGTTGCATACAGTTATGTAGAAGTGGAAGACAGGTTGAGAATACTGAAATAAGAATTCCTATCAATGAAATAATATGGTATAGTTTCCATTGTACCCAGATTTGATATTTTTATTCTTGTTTTGATGGGTACTTAAAGCTTTCAATTTATAAAGTATTTAGGAAGACTGGAAAACTCATACCTGTACCAAACCAATGTGCACATTTATATATACATCAGATACATGTAAAAATATATTTATATATAAGTTTATTTGTAAAAATGTCATTGCTTATACTCTGTGGTTCTGCTTGTACCAAATATGCTAAAAGGTAATTGTGGATAGAGATTGTTAGCATTTAGAGGACCATACATAAAACTAGATTGGTCTCCTCTTCCCCTAGTAGAATGATCTTATGTGACCCAGAAAATATCTTATTTAATAGTCTGCAATAATGACTGTTAGAAAACAGGTAATAGACTTTTGCCAATAAAAGCTTGAAAATTTGATTTTTGTAAGAACTTTAAAGTATCATAGTATAACTAGAGTTAGAATATGGAACTTATTTTCACCCTGTGAGCTTTGTATTTTATATTGAACTATTATAATAGCTGTTTTATGTTAAAAAATAAATTTTTTTAACATCAAAATGAATAGTTCGTGATTATAGCAATAGTTTTAAAAATCATTCTCAGTATCTTTTAAATACCAAACGATTGGGTCTTTCAGAAGTGTTTTAAAGATGATATGAAGACTGTGCTCAGCATAATAAAATGGAGTTTCTAGAAAAGTAAGCTTTGGACTGTTTTTAAGAGCTATACTCCCCAAATATTTTGGGAAGAAGGTAGCATTTCTTGTTTAAGTGGTGGAGTAGGGTGGAGGATCGTGGCTTTTCAACTGTTGTCTTAACTAATTTTGAACATTTGATAGACAAAGAGAAGCAAAATATGTATGAAAGTTTACATATCAAATTTTAGTTTGTACTTAAGTTTTTAGAAAATGTAATGAGAGAGGTTTAAAATACCAGAGATCTTAAAAACAATTCCTGGGGCTAGGGTTGTGGCTCAGTGGTAGAGCGCTTGCCTAGCATATGTGAGGCACTGGATTTGATCCTCAGCACCACATAAAAATAAATAAATAAAATAAATGTCTATCAACAATTAAAAAAACATTTTTTTAAAAAACCCTCCTAATTTCTGTTTCTAAATTTAATTGCATTAAAATTATAAAGCCTATAGTTAATCACAATAGTGTTAACAGTTTCGTTTTTCAGATTCCACTGATCTCTTAAATAAAATTAAACAGGATGCAGTAAAATACTCAAATAATCATATAACCACTAAAGAGATGTCAGTACTGTTGAAAATAAGATATTGGCTAGTGGGCAGCATGGCCTCCAGAGATCATGTACCAACTGATGCACCGGAGTCTGCATTTGACACCCTAGTATCTTTTTAAATTTAAATACATATTGTTTCACAGTTAGATCTAGACATAATAGAATGTGTAAAAGCTTAGGGCCCCTTTATTTATCATTTTTGTTTTTACCCAGACAAAATAGGCATTTTGCATATTGTTTCTTGCATGTGTACTATAAAAATTATATTTTGGTGGTGTAAGTAGGAAAAATTTAATGGTACTCAGTTTCTCTCTGAACAATTTATATTCTGATGTTAAAATATTATATTTCCCAAAATCTTGTGAATTTACTTTTAGTGAGAATAAATGTCTAATTGGTGAATAAAGTAAAGATTTTATGGCATCTTATTTATAGGTTTATTACCATGAATCTGACTTTTTGTCTTCTAGGCTTTTTCTGGAACTGTAATAGAAAAAGAATTTTTATCCTCTTTAACACCACACCCAGCCATTGCTCATCCTGTACTACCCACCATTCCGGAACGAAAAGAAATTCTGTCAGAAGTATCAGAAGAACCTGCAAAAAGGGTTTCAAAGTTCAAAGCTGCCAGATTGCAACAGAAAAACTAGGAAATGGGAGTTTACATCCTAAAACCTAGTTGTGCATTTTTAGAATGTATAAGCAAAATATGTTACATGTAGTTTGAAATAAGGTGTTTTGAGTTAGTTTGGTAGCAAGTTCTCTTATCAGTGATATTACAAAAATCATAGTAAATGTTTGAATACATTAATATTCAGCTTGTTTTGTTAATTCTCTGACTACTAAGTTGGCCTTACAATTTTGAATTATTTTTCAAAGAACACAGTTCATATGCATTGCTTTTGTGTTTTAAACTAAATACAAGCAGTTTTGTACCAGCTGTGATGTTGTGTGTACCATATGGACCATTTAAAAGAATCTTTTAAGATATCAAATAGATTCAACAATTATATTACTTGCTTTTGCATTTTAAAGGCACTTTAAAAAAAATCTACTTCCCTTATAGGTTTTGTAAGCTAGGTGGCTATTTAAAAGAAAGAAAGAAAGAAAAACAAACAAACAAAAACCTCTTCCCTTTGAATGTCATACTGTAATCCTTAAGACAGAAAGCTACATGTACCCCATGGGAAAGTTTCTTTGACTGGAAGAATGATATTTTGTAAAGTATTTCTTTTCAAGTAAAAATTTTATGAAACTTGGTCTCTAAAATGTTGCGAACTTTATGATTTAGAACTGAATATGGAAATGTCTTTGATTCATATGTGTATATACCACACAACAGATTCTTGAATTCTTATAATTCCATAGGAACTACTTCTCCCCCTTCTGTATAGTTTTCACTGGGATTACCTTTGGGAGAGAAGGAAAGTTTGTCTAGATGCTTTAAAAAAAAAAAAATGAATGAATGAATGAATTTTTCAAATAAAATTTTCTTATGTTTTAATCTTTCCAACATTTTCATTCTTTAAGCCTACTTTACTACTAGTAAATAACTAGATAACATATTTACTTTGTTACTTTGTAGTAAAATTCCTTAAAGATAAATTTAGTCTAACATTGAAAATTATACTGCAAGTGTTAATAATTAGCTTGATGCATGCTAAAATGTAGCTTTTAAAAAGCATTCTGCATTAGTACTAAAATAAGCCATCAATGCCAGTCCACCCTCTATTCATGGCTAAATATTTAAGGGTTATTTATAGCTTCTTTAATGAATTCTTGCTTAAACAAAGTGAAATTATGTCCTAGAAAAGTAGAAGCTATTTGTAACTAGAACAGCACAACTGTAAAAAGTTTTATGAATATGTATTTTAATGATAAAGGGGTGAACTTGAATCCCCAGTAATTAATGGATCATTTAGAACAGAGAACTGATTTTGAAAGATCACCTAAAAATGTAGAAAATTTGTTCTTTAGTCAGTTCTGATCAGCTGTATGTTTTGTAGTTAAAAACAGGTTTTCTTTCAGTTCACCCTGTTCATAAACCAAATAGTGCAAACCACTCACAAAGGAGTTCTCCCTGTCTTTCTCAATTGCTATTTAAGTGAACCTTTCTGTGTTAACCCCCACTCCCCGCCCCTGGTTAGAACAAACTTTATTGTAGGACTGTGGTGGTATTTAGAGATGTATAATTTCAAGAGTATTGTCATTAAATATTTTTTCATGTTTATGAACTTCATTTTGAGCCTGCTGTTTATATAGTCTGTTACTTCCTTCAAATAATTTTTCTTTCATAGAATATGGTAGTAGAAACAACAAAAAGTGTTTGATAACATATTTTTTGTATGTTCTGCTCAAGACCATACGAAATAGTGTTGCCCCATTTCATAATTTCAATCTTATAGCAAAGTTTTACATTATAGCTTGAAGTTATTAAATTCAAATTTCCTTGGGACAAAATGAAGCTGGTCTTAAGGGTTCTGCTTTAAACCACTGTAAAACAGAACAGCAGACCAAAACACTCTTTTCTTCACCTTTACTTTGAACTAATTTTAATGCTACCACCAAAAATTGCACCAAACAGTACAGAGATTTCCTGTATGCCTGCTTCCCCCAATGTTATAACATACAATGTTTCTACAATGATCAAAACTAGGAAATTTATATTGGTGTAATTCTACAAACTGCAGATCTTAATTTGAATTTCACCAACTTTTTCACTAATGTTCCTTCCAGAATCCTGTATAGTACCCTAACTTTAATTATTATTGTTCCTTAGTCTCCCCTGATCTCTGACAGTTCCTCAGTTTTTCCTTGTCTTTCTTTACTTGACATTTTTGAAGAGTACTGATTGTAGAATGTTCCTCAGTTTTTTTTTAATATATTCACATAATTAGAATGAAGTTTTGCATTTTTGACAAGATTACTATAGATACACATCATATCAAGAGGTTCTTGTTAGAGATACCTTCTGCTGTGTCATTTCAAGAAATCTTTACTTCAAATTGTGAACCGTAATCACTTGGTTAAGATGATGTCTGTCATGGGCTGAGTGGGGCACACCTGTAATCCCAATGGCTCGGGAGGCTGAAGTAGGAGAATGAGAGTTCAAAGCCAGCCTCAGCAAAAGCGAGTCACTGAGCAACTCAGTGAGACACCCTGTCTCTAAATAAAATACAAAATAGGGTAGGGAAATGGCTCAGTGGTCAAGTGCCCCTGAGAGAAGATGTCGTCAGTGGAGCTCTGTCAGGAGGTATCTCCGCTGTAAAGTTTATATCTTTTTCTTTATAGTTAATATCTCAGGGGAGATCATTTAAGATTGTGTAAATCTTTTTTTTTTTTCTCAATGTGGAGCCCACAAATTTTGGCATCTATTGTTGGGTCTTGTCTGAAACAGCACTGTTGTATTTTCCTAATGGTGATTTTCTGTTTTCTCCTTTCCTTCTACATTTGTTTTTTGGAATTCTTATGTTCTAAACAGTGCCTCCACTCATACCCTGTTAATTTAATTTTTATATCAGTGTGGACTCCTGGATATTTATTTTATTCTGTGGATTAAAATTCAAAACTATCATTGTTATGCAGCTCAATTTGTTCTATCTTTGGCCATTAGGAACTCCTTTGCATTGGCTTAGAAGTTCATTCAACAAGTTCTTTATTTTTTTATTTTATTATTTTTGAATACTTTCTTACCCTTTACCACCAAAAATTTTACAGGCTCTGCTTATATATTTACTTGTCCCAGCACTGGAATCAACCACTTCTCCAGGGAACCCTGTCTCTTTATTGGACATTGGGGCTTAGAAACCAACCAACATCTGTTCATGTATTTACTGTCACTGAGCTGTCATTGCTTCTTGTCCTTTTCAGATGAGAGAAATTTATGTGTATACTTACCAACACACACTTTTATATGTTTAATTATATTAAAAACCATGAGTTTATACTGATACTTGATTTTAACTACCATAGGACTTAGGTTTTCAAGTTTTTCCTTGTTTGTGACTTCTTTTCTCCAATATGGATAAACCTGGCTCTTATCTAAATGTATTTATTGTTTTTTGAGTGTAATACTCATTAGTTTGGAAATACTAATTTGTACCCATAGGAGAAACACATTTATTAAGTACATTACACTATTTAAGTATAGTTCTTTTTGTGGTAGCCTTATATTATGTGGAGAAACTGTTTCCCAAAGTTACACAGGCTCATTCTTTTCCACTCTCTTCATTGTAATTGTCATTCATTTGTACTACAGCTAGTTTGTCACTCTCTGAATTCCATTGAGGCTTCTCTGCATATCCTGGTTGGTTTGAATGGTTTATTGAGGGGGGGGGTCTGTAAAGGAATGTGAACATTAATTTTGGTTCTCAGAGTTGAGAGTTGTATGGAAAGGCATACTTAAGAAAAGTGTCACTCCCTTCCCTGTTTTCTTCTCTCTCTTCAGTTCCACCTCCCTCCTTCCCATTCCCAGCTTCTCTGTTAAACCCCTACTTACCCATTTTAACTAACTGATGTTTTTAGTTTCTAGTTTAACATTTCTTTTGCACAAAGAGCAGATGTTTTCTACATATCTTTTTATATTTCTTTAGTTAAGGACACTCTCCACTGCTTTTTAATTAATGTTTCAATTAATAGTACACCCTGGTAACGTCACCATGTCAGTTTATACAGATCTTATTCTTGTTTACAAAGATAGAGTACTCCATTGCATAGGTAGATCACTGTTTGCTCAGCCACTTTTCTATGTATGGGCATTTAGGGTGTTTCCTGTATTTTGCAATTACGTATAACGATGCAGTAAATCACTTTGTATTTTTTGTATCATTGGAGGTTTTATCTTTGAGGTAGATTCCTAAAAGTAGGATAGATGAGCTGTCTGCACAATTAGTATATACTTTTTACTATTACTACATGTTTTCTTTAGCAAAATCTATTTTTATATATATTTGTTTTGTTCCTTCATTGAGGACGTGTTTTTAACATATATGATTGCATATCTGCATTTTATTGAGGATTCTTTTTTTGTTTGTTTGTCTGCTGGGGATTAGAACCCAGGGTCTTATGCATACTAGGCAAGCATTTTACCACTGAGCTACATTTAAATAATGATTTAGGGAAAATATAGTGTCTTAAACAGACTTTAGTCATTGAAGTATATTGTGTTGTATAGTTATGTTCATTTTGCTACAAAATTTCAAATTACTTATGCTTGTGATTTATATGAATTTTCCATTTATTGTAGTATTTCCAAATTCATAAAATTCACTTATCTACTTACTTTATGGATTTGTCTTCTCCATAAGAAACAGCTTTCCAGGGTTAAAACTAATCTGTGTGTCCTTTAGTTGAGTGGCATATATATTCCCAGGTAAATGCCTCTAAGAATTCCTCAACTACAGTAAATATTTATGGCTTTTGTGTCTAATTTATTGGTGGATAATATCAAATTTTTACATTTTAAAATACTTTCTCAGTTATTTAAATTTTATTTTTGAGGAATATAAGGTAAAAATTTTTGTTGTTCCTTTAACCAATGAATCAGATATTTTTGAGCACTGACTGTCAAACATTTTTTATGAACTTTATGTGAATTATTTTTCATTAACAGCCTAGTAATATGAGTACTACTGTTTTATTTCTCTCCTATTTCCCATTTTAGAGATGTGGAAACAAAGAGAAGGATACAGCTACATTTTAAATCATATGACTATTTAAGTGGGTTAAACCCAAGCATCCTTGCTCCAAAATAAGCTTACTTTAAGACTTTTTTTTTTTTTTTTTTTTTTTGGTGGTGGGGGGCATTATCTGCTCTCTCCAAACAAGAGTACTTAGCTAGTAAGAAAATATGTGACCTGTATAATATTTATGATCTTACCATTAGTTCAACTTTTAAAAATATGAATTTGAAACTTGTTTCTTGAACTTCTTACATGAGGGAATTCATTTTGACATCATTGATGGAGTCTCAATGTTAATTTGGCTATATGCATAAAAGAAATCAATATGTAGGTAGAGAATAATAGAAGAGAGATAGTGTAACAATTATTTCATTGAGAAAACATTTTTTTCCTTTACATTAATTTATGTACATACACACATGAGTTTAGAATTTGTATCTCAAATGGCCTTGGTGACCTTCTTTATCCCTAATGATTTTTTTTTTTTTTTGCATACCATAGAGGTAGTTAAATATTTTCTTAGTATAACAGGTTTCATCTTTTGTGTGTAAATGTGATCTTTTTGTTTTGTTTTTATGTGTGTATTATATGTGTACCTAATGGTAGTAGTATTGTAAATAGTTTTTAACATACTCTGATGATACCCTATAACTGTCAAATATAATTTGTGTTTATTATAATTACTCTTGTTGGGACAACTTCTGCTGTCTCATTTTGGGCATTATGTTCCTGCTTCTTGTTTACTGCTTTTCCCTCCTTACTATTGTTTAGATTCATGCCCCCCCCCCTTGCTCCCACATTCTTGCCACTGATTCAGAAGTTATATACTTGCCATATTATAATTTTGCATGGGACACTTGGTTTTTAAAATGTGCACATTTATAGCTACCCTCTTTCTAAAGACAGTATTCTGATCACATCATTATGAAGTTTGTAGTACTTTTTTTGTAGTACATTTTTTTCCCCTAATAGCTTTATTAAGATATGATTCATACACCATAATCTCCATTTTTAAGTATACATTTTGGAGTTTTAAGTAGATTTCAACTTGTGCTACTTTAGTGGCATATCTTGAGCATATCTTCTTTGAAGTGTATTAAAACTATTTGCACCATTTAAAATTGTTTTATTATTGAGTTGTAAGAGTTCTTTATATATTCTAAATGCAAATTCTTCATCATGTGTGATTTGTAAATATTTTCTCTTAAGTCTGTGGCTTGTCTTTATATTTTTAAAATTTGTCTTTTGAAGCACAAGTCTTTCTTTGGTTTTAATGAAGTTCAGTTGGTAAATTTTAAATTTATGTATTATACATTTGGTGTCTTAAAAATTCTTTGTGTAACCCAAAACTCACAAAGGTTTTTCTCATGTTTACTTCTAGAAGTTTGATAGTTTTAGCTCTCACAGTTAGGAATATGGTCAATTTTGAGTTAATTTTTGTGTATGGTGTGAGGCAAGGGTCTGTATTCAACTTTTTTGTGTGGATAGTTTTGATACTTAGATTATCTTGTTGCTATGAGTGTTTTGGCGGTGGCGGCAGCTGCTGCTGCTGTTGCTG